ATATTTTCTGAATATTTTCTGAATATTTCTAATACAATAATCCGGAATATTTTCGGAATACGATAATATTTTTTTTTATAGGGAATATATAAAGCAAACTATAAAATACTTTGCAGCTATAAAAACTGAGCTTAAAACATTGAGCACTTTTACAGAAAAAATTTTATCCAAATCATTACCAATATCATCAGACTCCTATAATTTAAAAATATGCTATAATAAATACCTCAATAATTACTAATTACCTTTACTTAAAGAACTACAAACTATCAATTCTTTTATATAACATTTAATAAATAATAATGCCAAGCATCTAGCAAGTTATATTTTTATTATCATGAATAGTAATAAACAGAAGCACATATTTATCTACTAGGTGATTCTAAGATATTACCTTTTTTTTTTGATATTAAGGTGAGGTCTTGCTCATATCTTTATTAATAATTTTATTGGGTAATAGTAACTACTGGTTGAGTAATCAACTAGTATAAATATTACTACAATTTGTAAGAGTACAAATAAAAATAAAATTATACAGCAAGAATAAAAGCTTAGACTAATTTATCTGTAACCTAAACCTACTAGAGTGGTCCTAAGCTCACCTAGATTATAATAGAGGAAATATAATTTATTGAAGTACCATATTTAATCCAGTGAACAGACCAAACATTATATTTCCTTCTAACCTGGCCAACAGATGGACAGATATTGAAATAGATGTGTAGTTGATCTGGTTCGCCACATATACAAGAATAAGTATATATTGTATGGATGCGTCGAGTTGAGATGGTAGATTGTGTTGAACTTGATGAATCAGATTGTTGTTCAAGGCTGGAGGGTTCAGGTAGTGTAAAAGAATATTTTAAAATTTAAAAAATATAGATCATAAGTATATTTATAAAAATTTTCCAGACAAATTTGTCTAAAAAAGCTTACAGATTAAGGGATACAGTATAACTATAATAATATATAGTATGGTATATAACTAGATGAATAACTTATTGTTATTGTTCAATACTGCTTGAATGAGAAATAAGCTCTATAGTAATTTTATTAAACTTTTGTATTTATAAAATTAAAAAATATTAAATATTATAAGGGAAATTAAGAATGAAAAGTGATTTTCTATATGTAGTCTTTAATATTACATGCAGATTTTCAAAATTATTATCGCTATATATATGATTTATTGATTAATAGTCGTCACCATTATTTTGTAATTAGGCCCCATTCTGAGATATCTACTATTTTTTTTCAAAATATAGAAAATATAGTAACAATAGATATATTAGAAAGTGGGTTATATGTTATCAAAAGTTATAAAACAAGGTCTCTGTAATTATAGATTACATTAAATAAGGAATGACTCTATGTGTTCGGTTGTTTATTTTTCGATTCTTTTACCTCTTTATTAAAAATTTAAGCTCAAAGAAATCAAAAAAAAAAAAATTACAAAGGAAAATACCCTGCTTCCTATTGTTTTTTTTTTTTTTTGAAATCAGAATGTTTTGTCGATTTTTGAAAACATTTTCTCCAAATATTTTTTGAAAGTGTTCCTTCTTAATATGAAATATAAGAGAAAAAAGGCGAAGAAAAAAAAAAATTCAGATTTGCCACGAGATGAAACTAATTACAATAAGCGTTTGTCATACATATTTGCGTAAAAAAAAAGTTTTTTGCCATAATTAAATAAAAAATCCATAATAGGGAGGAACATAAACATAACGAAAAACAATTATTATATTAATTTCGTATACTTTTAAAGGGGTGGAAAAAAAATGCATATATGAAAAGATGAGATTCTATAGCTATCATTACTATGCGGATGAATTGTTAAACATAATTTGATATTGATGCGAAGGGAGGAAAATATGTACAAATAAAAAAACATTTAATGCGAGTTGAGAAATGTAAACGAAGAATAAAATGATGTGATAAAAAAAAAAGACGCAATCGATTTTTTTCTAAAAAGGAAAAATAAAGTTCCGGAAGTTTTTAAAACACCGTATGATCATTCTCATTAGACAATTATTGAAAATACAAGATCACAAAAAATTATACAAAGAAAATGACAATTTCCGAATAAAAAAAGATGCCGTGAAAAATAAATTGAAAAGCATTTTGTTTCCACCCATATATTTCCAATTTCCCGTTTGTGGAAATTTGATGATTATATAATATTATGATTTAAGAAATTAAATACGAAAGTTCTTTTATATCAACATGATAGATCATAACGAGCCATCACGTTTCTTAATATCCTCGGAAGATAGCAGCATGATGGCTCAGCATTTTAACGCCTTCAATTTCACCTTCGTAACGAGTCTTCTTGACAGTTCTGCCCAATCTATGAACTCTAAGATGTCGACGCATGTTACTCTGTACCGAGAATTTTCTACCGCATCCAGGTTCGGTGCACACAAAAGGTTTTTCACCGGTATGGGAATAGGTATGAATCCTAAGTGAACTTGGTCGCGAAAATCGTTTTGAACAATAAGGACATTGGTAACGGTTTCCGCTTGATGAATCATTTGGAGATATTTGACCATTGAAGTGATCAGTATGATATCCATAATGTTTGGCGGCAGGGGTTAATAACGAAGTATTCAATCGTGGAAGGGATTGCATTGTTGATAATGTCGGTTTGCGACCGAACGGAGAGATTGGGATCGGATGAATAAGTGGCGGGCAAGACGAGTATCGTTGTTGGGAATATGATGAGTCATAGACACCGGAGGATGATTGCTGGCTATACGAAGAAGATTGGTAGATAGACACTGGTCGGCTGACGCAGCAAGCACATTGTTGTTCAGATGTTTGAGGAACTATATATCTTTCTTCTTGATGTTGAAGTTGTCGAGAACCATATGTGGAAGCTATTTCAGGTGATTCTGGTGGTGAGAGCAAAGTTCTGATATTGCCAGCATGACGATCATAGGAAGGAAGACTGGGCAATTGTACGGGATTCTGGACCGGTGAAGGTGAAGAGAGCGGGCCTATAAAAACATGACGTTTATACATGAGTTATTTAATACTGGAACTGAAATAATACTGAAATCTTTCTAAATTCCGATCTGTACTTACCGTGAGCATCATTCGTAGGAGAAAGAAGGAATTTAATCGAAGGAAGAACGGTATTAGGTTGCATGTTTTTTTTTATTCTTATATTTTATTTTTAAAATTTAAAATTTATTTTTATTTTTATTTTTAACAAAAAAAAACTTATAAAGTCTTTAATGAAATATTTCAAAAAAAGTAAAGACAACTACAATAGACGTAGAGCGAGTATTTTTAAAAACTAAATTGACAAAGAATGTCATGGGATATTATATATTTTTTTTTGTCATAAAGATTTCGGATTTTTTCATGGAACATATAATTATTTGCAAACTGTTTCAGCGAATGGAGGTCGATATTACATAATCAGATAAGCAAAATATTTTTGTTTTGCATTCAGCATTTTTTTTTACGAAGATCGACTTAAATGGTCAGAAGGTCAAATAAATTTTAGTTTTCTTTTTGTTTGAGATTGAGATCATTAAAAAAGCGATCACTAAAATCGTCAGACATACACATTCGACACCAATTAATGCACGCACGAACCTTTTTTTTTTATTAGTTGAAGATCGTTAATTCCATAATGGGAAGAGGCGGGAAAGTATCTCACCGAATTTCTGGGATTCACGGACATATAATTTCGGAATCATTTGGAATCATTCCAACATTAGATCTTCACGGGTTTCACATTCTTTTTGAATCCAATAATGGTATATTGCATTTGGAAATTCATTCTTTGATGGTCGAATCACTTGATAAGAAAAAGAGACAGAGATAAAAAAGATTTGCAATCTTTGGAAGATCGACGGTTTGTATTCGGATATCACATTGGTTAATTAAACATTATTTAAATACATAAATAATAATATCAGGTGGGAAAATAAATTATTAGTTTTTCCTAAAATTATCCACATACGCATTAATGACGATTGTGATCTATTGACATTTCTTTAATAGATCAGTTAATAGATCAGTTGGTGAGATAAAATAAAAAAAAAGAGAAAGAACATAATGCAACGAAAATCACTTTCTTTCGTAGATAAGTTTGTCCGTGCCAAGATTTTCTTTGGATAGTCGAAATTTATATTTAATCATTGCAAAATGCATTGCATAATATTTGGTAAATATTGTGATTTTGCTATATGCTTCTTAAATCCACATGGAATGAGTCGTCCATACGGTGAATTTTTAAATATTTATGTGATCTTATATCATGTGGTTTATTCATAGTTTCGGATTTACCGGACGATCCGATGTAGATCACTAATTCGTATTATAAATATGTATTATATGGAGTAACAAACATCGACGATCTTTTAGACATTCATATCTTGAATCGTGATCTTAGTTAACCAATCAAATCGAAGCATTACAAATGTGAAAGATTAATAAATTTGTGATTGGTTCCTTAAAATTTTACTTATAATATATTGATATGTACATATGTACATATTTCCGTATACTTCCTACACTTCCGTGTGACGACTCTTTAAAATCTGCGGGATTTTCCGACTTGATTTACAAATGTCCAGCATGTAATCAACGAACATTTAATATCTTATTTAACACTAACAACAAGGATCTGCATAGAAAGCATTTTCGGTAGACGCCGATCCGTAAAAATGTTTTAAGATTATCAAACATGACAAAGCGCATTAACGCAGCTAGGAAACAAATTATGGTAACCTGCTGCAAAAATGATGACACAAATCCGAAATTTCATAAATATATTAGCATTGATTTGTAAGTAAGAATGTTATATAATACATTTATAAGCCAATAATTCAATTTATCGGACCATAGAATTTCCGCGGACCAAGCTTATGCCAATTTAAAAAAACTTCTAACGGTAATGCGTAATGACCGCATCCTGAATCTGACGTCTGATCGTCAATTGGAAATGAATCATTCGATATTGGTATCTACAATGCAAAGATTATTACATGATTAATAATAAATTCTGTTATTCTGTTTTGTGATTACAAATATATATAAATATATATATAAATATATATATATATATATTTAAAAGTTCTATTAATCGATCCAACGGACGACTTTAAATTCTAGGGTTAATCGGTTTATCAAATTACGCAAAGTACATCCTAGCTGTCAAACTTCGCCACCAACTATTGCTCGCCGATTATTAACATTGAGGATCTTTAAATCCACATTACATGAATGAGAGATGAATATTTAAATATCATTGGATATATATAGGATTCAATACTTAAGGTACCGGTACATAATACGTATACATACATATATAATATACATCAATACAGTCATCACGTAATCATTATTAATTAATATTCATTAGTAAAAGGATATCAAAACGCGTCACAACCTTTTTATCCTGATGCAGGAATTTTCCTTAATTATGATTGCTAATGCGAGAAGATGTAATCACCAAACTTGCCCTGAAATGGTACATCCCATATCTAGTAAGCAGATTACGTAAATTTTATTGACTTTCCATATTAGTACGTATATTCTATTTTAAAGTTGTCGATTTCTTTCTAATATCGATATGTCGAAAAAGACATCAGGTTAATTCTATATCTTGTATGAAGTTAAACCAATCGTCGTTTACTTTAATGATTCTTAAGATTCTTAATGATTCTTAATGATTCTTAATGATTCTAGTATGTTTAATTATTCCAACTATACTTTTCATTCACACTAAATCCGGTTAGCTTGGTTTCCTCATTGAATATTTGAGTAACCTAATGTTTCACAGCGGATGTGTAATAAAAATCACGTGAAAAATTTTTCCTTGCAGCGAACTAGACTTCTGTAAATACCTTATATACCTTGATCGATGTTTCATCAATTCATCAATTCATCAATCCATCAATCCATCAATTCATCAATCCATCAATTCATCAACCGTAAAAAGAAAAATTACCTTCTAGTTCCGAATACTGTACTGCGCAAAGTATCATGGTTCGTATGTTCTTTCGGAATATTGCAATATGTATATGTAAGTTCGTACGTACGTATGCACGTACGTACGTACGTGTGTACTTTAAATATTGTGCACTCACCGGGTCGGGCAATTTACAGCCAGAATTATAAACTATAACCCGCATTATCGACAAATTTAGCTTTTTGCCGATGCCACTGAAATTATTAAGGTTGCACCGCTCTGAAACATGTATGGCATTAATCCATAGAGTAAATAGCCTAAGAATAATGATGTCAATGAGCATAAGTACGTAACAAACAATTTTGATACATTTTTAATTGTTGTTACTTAAGAACATTCCGCGTTCTAATTTCTTAAATTGCGTAAAAGGATAAGCGATTAATTTTAATTTCGCATCGGAAATACCTTTTGGAATGTTAGTACTAAGTGTCACTCAAGCTTCAATATGGCGTATATTAAGAATAGCATAAAAGGATTCGTGTGATTTAAAAGAGGTTGCATATTTTTACATAATGGCGTAATCATAAATATACTCATCCGGCGCCTCGTTGAATGTAAATCAAATGCATGTTTAACTCTTTTTGGGAATATAACGTTTCACTAATAAAAAAAAATTACCGCAAATGCTATTTCTGTATTTCTATGTAGATTCAACGCTATGCAAAATTACTCAAAACCATTCAATACTCCGAAAAAGTTTACTTAGATACGTATGTTATATTTTACTCTTTATTGCTAGAAATAGTTAGAATAGCTTCTAGGTGCCAACTTAATGTACATCTAAATATTATTGATTTTTATGTACTATTTGGTGTTATATATTTTTAATAATAAGCTTAGTATTACCCTTTTGTATAAATTATTACGTAAATGAGTGACGCCAACGGAAAACAAGACTTCATATAAATTTTATATGATTGAAGTCAAATATTATATAGTAAATATAGGTGTAATGTATTTGGTTAATAAATATGTACGAGTAATATTGTTTTTATTAATTAAATGTATTAAAGATTATGTCGCGTCTCTAATAAATGTAAATGTTATATGATTAAGAATATATAATTACTGTTTGAAACATAAAGATTAAAGCTTTGCTAATATTGTACATACTAAAAAACGAATATTTATTTGATTTGATTGAATTGATAAATAGTTACATTTTGATCATAAATTATCCAATAGTATGAAAGAATCAAGATTAAATTTTTGTGCAGAGTATGTTTAAAAACGTATAGTATATCCGTATAAAATAGCCCAAGATATTTAAGGGTAATTCGCAGCTGAAGAGTATAAATTTCATAGTAAAATTCAGCGAGCATTTACTAGTTAACTTATATATTAAGTGGAATCTCGTATGATTTAAATCTTTAAAAAAACATTCTATAGTAAAAAATAGATATCTCATGATTTACCACTTACAGTAACAGTGCGGGAATCCTTAAGCGGCCAAATTTTAAACCCATGTTGTGTAGCCTTAAACAAAAACTATTTTTGAATATTAATGGTGAGACCATGTCTCTGTCTTTATTAAAATTTAATTTAACTCTCTTAAAAAGCAAAGAATATACAGCTCTTTTACAAAGAAAAGAAAATATAACTCTTATACAAA